AAAATTAATTTCTCATTATTATAATGTAATAAACATAAAATTTATTATACTGCACTATGCATACACAGATACAATATACAGTAGGTACAATATACAAAATATATTTCAAGGTGTTCTTTTTATAAACGATAAGTTTAAAGATACCGTTATCTTCCAAACGAAAAAAATATATGCGTCAGCGCTAAGGTGATTATTTTAAGGCTCCTTGGGGTCTATTACGGTTCTCGGATTGGGTGAAAATGACGAAAGTGAGCGGCTCTGTCTCTTACTAAAGGGACAGTTAGAAAGAGACAAAGCTACTCACTTTCGTCATTTTCACCCAATCCGAGAACCGTAATAGACCCCCTGGGTTGTCACTGCGGCCATATTGAATTTTGACGTCAGAAGCGAGAAATGACACACCATGCAAGAATTCTTGCGTGGCATTTCCAAATAAAAAGATATTCGACCAAAAGTACACTTTATTAGTCCGTTTTAGCACACTTCCAAAAGACTCCGTAAACTATCCTTTTCCCTTGGCAGCTAATAAACAACTCTACAGTAAACGTCAAAGTTAGCTTAATTATGCAGGAAAACACATGATTTGACACTGCCAAAAAGAGTGGAAAATATCTTTCTACGATTAGAATTCCTCGCTAATCTTAGTTTTCGGAGCTTTTTAGAGGTTTCACGAATAGGTCACACGTAACAGAACTAAAAAGGAATAATTACGAAAATCCACGCAAGAATAAATTGTGTTGTCAATCTGTCACTTTTCACGTCTAATACTTCAGCCGGCGACAGCTTGAGGGCACTGCACGAGTATTTATCCCACGCTGTCAGAGGCGAGCAATGACACGCTGAGAATTCTTGCATGCTGTTTTAAAATAAAAAGATATTCGACTAAAATTGGCTCCACGAACAGCTTTGGTAGCGTTTGCGTTGGTAGCGTGACAGCGAGCTCACCAAATGCACCTATACAGATTCCCAGATAACAATGTACTTCCACGGAACTAGTATGGTGAGCGTATGTCGTACTAAACGTATCAGTACCGTAGCTACCACGTACGTGCGTACTGTAGGCATACGTTATTAGTACACCGTATTGGTACGCGGTACGACTACCGTAGCGCCACTGTGTGGTTGATGTAGAGTTATTATTGTGCGCTGTACTCTCACAGTACCAGTAGAATACTAGAACAAGATTGCATTTTCGTTTAATTAAAATTACCTGATCAGGTTTTCCTTATCAAGACCTCATGACTTTGTGTTAAATTACGTAGTCATCAAAAGTATATTCAGGTTATTGAAGTTTATCCATGATCCAGACTTGCTGTCGCATCATATCGGCTCGCCTCTTATACTAATACGGCATGATTTTTACATACGAGAAAGACTAACGCGCGGTCGCCACGTCGTGGCAGTATGTGGTACTAGTGCTATCTTTCAGGTTAAATATTACCACGTCTTGCGTGTAGAAGGCAAGGTTTGCAGTATCCTTGCCACACATTTGCTGTCATGTCGTGTATATCAAGGCTTTCCTCATTTTTGCCACAAATTTGCTGTCATGCCGTGTATATCAAGACTTGTCATGTTATTTGCAAAAAAACAAACTTTATCTTAACATTACGCGATTTGTTGCCATATTGACATAAAATTTCTGTTACATGGTGAATAGCATTATTTGATACTCCTTTTATGCGTAAAATTTATGGACAAGTTTTTCTATCATTTGCAGCATCCTGTGACGAAAAATTTTGCCACAAATTTGTTCGAAACTTTTTGACACAGCAAAACAAAACAAATGTTTTCAGATTATTGTTGTAAAAATTGAAGCAAAGCTTGCCGTAAAGCTATGACAAAACATGATTTTAGCATGCTTGGTTATCTGGGTATATTCCTTTTTCTCATCAAATTTCTCATTAAAAATCATTATGACACATGAAATATTGGCCTTTC